AACAATCCATTAACATTTAACATATCTGTGACTCTTTATGCAAATTATTTACAGTTAATATACATGACACACTAGTAGAAAGAGAAAGGTGTTTGAACTTGCACAATTATTGTGAGAGATATCATTTGTATCGTTTATATAGAGCTCAATTGGGATGTCCAAATAATTATTGTAATTGGTGATACATTTATATATGCAGGGTATCCCAAAACTCAATATCAAGACGAAACGGAGTGATAGTATTAATCATAACTATCATGAAAAAAAAAAGTTATCTCACGTAGTTTGAAAATTATGAGCTTAAATGCAACCTAGAGCTTTTATGAAACTTACCATTTTTCTATTATAGCGGTTAATTTTTATTAATTTTGTTCATTTAACTTCAAATCCGTAACCGTGAATAAAATTTCTAGAAACACTTAATTTTTGAAGTTTTTTTTTATTATGAAACTATATAACTATATTATTATATACTTTATTATTGATGAAATTTGACTACTACTTTAACACTTTATTATTAATGAGGGGCTCTCAAAGTAACCCAATATTGAAAACTTTAAATTATAAGCTTGATAAAAAGTCTCAATTCTTCAAACTTTAAAGCAATGTGTCATTATTTTTGGTTTTGGTCCTAGAAATGTATTTATGATTACGGATCAAAAGTTTAAATTAACAAAAATTAATGAAAACTAAACACAATAACTGAAAAATGATCACAGTTTCACCAAAGCTCTAGGTTGCACCTAAAAGCTCATAATTTTCAAACTATATGTAATTTTTTATTAGATATATATATATATATATATATATATATATATTTATATTGTGTCTGCAAATTGCAAATCAATTAGAAAAAGCAATGAAAAAGTCCCAACGATACAGAACTGTTTTATAGTTCTAATAGAAGCAAAATAAAATTTCTAAAATAATCCAATATCTTCCGAATTTGTTTTGAACGTGTTGACCACAATTTTGTTAGTTAATTTAAATTTTCTGAACATTCTATAAACTAAAATTTTCAATAAAATACTAAATTTTCACTAGAAAAGTAACATATTACATTGTATGTTACATAGGGCAAAATCTCGCGAATCTTTAATTTGAATTTTGTAAGCACATAATATGGAAATCGAGTACATAATAGCTTATTTAATAGGTTATAGCACAAAATACTAGCCAGGTAAAAATTAAGTTCAAGTGCACTACATATCACGAAACGCGATCGATTTACCAAAAATTGGAAACAATTTTCTTCCCACTACTCCATAAATTTAATAATTAGTATCCAAAGCTCCAATTGTCCGTCATGCAACGGGAAAATTAGTTCTATACTACAATTTATATTTTATACAATTTTATGAACGTTAATAATGTCATTGTGCGGCGACAATTCATATTGTATGATGTTTACAGTTAACATCGTGGATAAAAAACCGATACGCTGAAGTGATCAGAAGAGATAAAAATAAGTATTAAATGAGAAAAACCAATTGAAAGTACTGTTATTTGAAAAACGGCATGATTTACTTAATGTTATGTTATACTCTTAAATGATAAAAAATACTCTCGATGTAACATCAATTATAAGATTTGTCAAAAGTGTGAATACGGCGAGACATGCAATCTAATTGTAATATACTAAATACGCCATTAAACCATTTGAAACAGTTAATAATAATTTCATGATCTTGCACGCAGATGTAATGGATACATTACGATTCAATTAATAAAAATCTTTTATTGTTTATGTTAATAATTTACTGTTTTAGAAACGAATATTTGAATGATTCCATTGAATTGAATTAAAAGATCGAAATAAATATTTTATCCTACGACAAGATACTTAATGTATTAAAACATACGAATAATAAAAAAAATATGATAATTAGGTTTTATTATAAAATAAAAACAAAATGAAAGTTCAACCAACTAAAGATTGTTCGCAGATATGATTTTCATCAAATTAGAAAAGCGATACAAACGCTTATGTGTAATTGCAAATATTGTTTAATCATATTAATACCGTAATTTATACTACATAATTAATGGCTAAATAAACAAAATCATGCTCGATAAAACTGATAAAAAAAAGAATTCAAGGTTTTTGCAAAACTCGACTGATATATGAAGATGTAAATGGCCTCTGAACTATATGATAGTCGTTTGCGAGATATATAACTTGAAACCATTAACTGACATATGATTCTAGCTAATTGTTATAGTGTTCCATTTGATTTCCAGAACAATGATGTTTAGATGTTATGATAAGTCAATGAGGACATGAAAACTCCATTATGGCGACATATTTGTATAAATAAGCACCTATACAAGGCACGAGTTCAAATGAAATTTTATATGTTGAACATTTCTAGCTCCCTGTAAGACGTTGAGTTAAATAAGAAGATCAAAACATTCGAAAATATTTCAATTGGTATAATGTAATTAACAAATATTCCTATTATATTTCTCTCATATTCTTTAAAAAGTTTGAAATATGGCATATAAATATTTAATAGGCACCTTCCTAGTAATGATGTTATTTTAGCTTTAGCTGGACTAACATTTATTATAAGATATGCATTTTCATCGCGATGGTATCAATGACGTGATTAATTAGATGCTCAATTAATTGATATTCATTACATCCGTATTCTATACATTACACATGTTTGTTAATATTCAATTGCGAATAAAACTTAAACGATACGAATTTGCGCAATATTTCATCACGAAATTACACTTTCACTGGGAAATAAGAGAAAGTCAGGATGAACTTATTACTACGTCGTCGTTCTTATCGTACGAATGTTGCCACCCACTACCGGTTAGGTTTTTAAATGCATAGGTTATTTGCACAGACAAAACTGTGATATAAATTCATTAATACAATATGAAACTATTTGAAAATGTTTTGCTATTTATTTAGATATACGCATATCTATTTACATACAAGCCCTCTCTACTTTGGTATTTTGAACTATAAATAATTATACTAAAACAAATTGGCGAAAGTGATTATATGTAAGCCAACGTGCAAGTTTATAAAGCTAATGAGAAAAAACTTGATCAATGTGATAAAAATTAAGTTCGATTTTTGAACTAAGATTCTAAACAGAAAACTTTGTGAAAACTGACGGAGAGAGAATATTCCAGAATGTGATAATATTTATCCTTGATAATAAAACTGATTTTGATTGTCGTTGTAAATAATTTGCCGTATTTATTAAAGAATGTAACATGCAATATGTGGTGCCATAAAATTTCAACTTGGTCAAATCTTAGAATATTATCCCTGAAAATTACTAATATACTTTATTAGCAATAATTATCATATGTTGGTATTCATAAAACTTTGCACAATCACCTTATAATTAATTACTATAATTTTAGTAGTAAGTATTAAGAGTAACTTTAACAACATTTAACAGAATTAGTAGATAAAAAAAGAAACATACCGGCATATGGATTGGTTATTATTCTGCCCCACTGATTGAATTTTTTTTAGCCTAATTGATCCAAGCAGTACCTGAAACTAAAATTAAAAGGTTAAAAATATTGTTCGTAATGGTCATATATTGACGCATACAGACACGCAGGCATATATATATATATATAATATATATCGATGCTTTTCTGACGCAACCTCGTATCTCAGAAACTACTACTTTTCAGGAGAGACAAAAACGTTTTTATAACGAATTTTGAACTGCTGTTAACAATTTTTTTTTATAAATTTTAAAATATTCAATCTTGTGACAATTATTTGAGACAAGTATTATATTACAAACAATTAATCATTATTTTTCTTCAATTCTTTGAGATACGTGTTTGTCGCACGGAAAAAATGTAACATACGTGGTTGCGTCATGCTGTTTTCAAATAAGAGTACATGAATAACTTTCTTCAATTGTTTTTTATTTGAGAATCGATCAACTTTTTAAATAATTCTTAATAAAAACAAACATTATTAAACTTGTGGTATATGGTTAGTTTATAATTACGACAATATAGTATCTGGCCATAGTTTAGGTATTTCAATATCTAGGATATTTAGCTCTTTCATGGATTTATAATTTACTACTTTGTGATTATCATTTTTATTGTTACTTTTATTCTTTTTTGTTATTATTTCTTTATTTAATGATTTTTATTTGCGGATGACACATTATCTAACTCTAAAAAATACAAAATTTAATTTCAATTATTGTCTGTAAGAATTGATAATTGTTTAATTTTTGTAGCTTACTGTGATATTTGTTCTCAACATAATAAAAATATAACTAGTGGTGCATGGCATCGTGCCTTTAAGCAAATTGGTGGAACTTCCCGTTCCGTAATTAAGTAGAATCGAGGAATAATAAATGATTACAAATAGATTATTGTAAATACTGTAACTTTTGTTATTTGTATTTGAATGACAAAATATAGAATAACTGGACAACGACGTTTATATATGTTTACATAAAAAGTAAATAAAAGTAAAAAAAAAACATATCTCATATATATTTCTAAGAATTATATAAACTAATTTGCAAATTTAAATTTATTTATTTGAAGTATATAAGAGAGTTTTAGAATTTTAGCTAGCATTAAAATTAAATTCGAATCATTTTTCATATTTAAACAAAGAAATAATTGTAATTAAAAAAATGGACAAAAAATTCTGCTTTCCTAAACTAATCGATTCTTTATACTGCAAAATGTTCATTGAATCATTCGAATCGGAAGCTTTGAAACGACTGGGCCTGTCTTTTCCAGAAACTAATCACCACGTCATCAATACAAACTGAATGTTTTTTAAATAATTCAAATCGGATGCTCTGTTTTCTCAATAGGAAACGATTGTTTTTTGAATGTTTCAAATCGGTTGATCTGTGCTCCCGAAAACGTGGACAGAAAATTATATCCACCACACGCACACAAACACATATATCCATTTCTTAAGGCATGTCAAGATATTCAGAAACCTCTGAAACGTTAATATGCAAAAAGTTTCATTTTCAATTTCGGAAAATTACTATAACTTGCGGTAAGTAAATAATAAATATATTATTAACTATCGTTCATTAAGTTTTAATAACAAATAACTTAATTGAATAATAATTTTTTAGAAGGATGAACTAAACAACATGCTGACAGCGAAACTTGTTCAATACGTCACCATGTATTCTGAGATACGAGGTTGCGCCTGACACATTTTTCTGAATTGAGATACGTGATTGTATTTTTCTCAATAAAAAAACGTTTCGGTTGATTTTTTTTTTTTCAAACTTCACAGACTATATGCGTCTATATTTAGTGATTGATTTTCCGATTAAAACTCAAAATCGTCAAAAATCGAGTTACGAGGTTGCGTCAAAAAGCATCGATATATATATATTACACTGTTCTAAAAATTCAAACTCAGTACAAGAGAAAAGATTCAGTAATTAATAATGAAAACAATGATAATTACACAATTCCATATCCTATACTAAATCCTGATAAAGACAAAAAAAAAAACCGTATCTTTTTTATTCTCTTAAATTTATATATTGACAGGCCTTCGTCTTGATTCATACCTACACGTGCTGGATTTATCATGGTATTACTAATATAAAGAATTCGAATTCACCTCGTAAATGACTTGGAACCTTCCTAATTAACTGGGAGAAAGCATTCATATTTTAAAAACCGTAGAATGCATAAAGCTTTTACAAAAACGATTTAGTTTTGAAGATTTTAGGAATTTTCAATTCAACATGTTGGCATTTAGGTTTTATATCTAATCAAATAGATCTACTAAAAATGAGTATACTTATATAATTGATTGTTATTTATATTAGCAACAATATATTATAACCTGACACAAATAAAGAATAAGTACAAAAACACATGAACATGAACATGAACACTTGCCTTATAAAATTTATTCTTTGCTTCGCAAAATAATAATACTCCTTAATATTAATTTTACTTATTGTTAACCTATTTACTCATATTGGAAGTAAACATCTATTAAAATGATGTTTAAAATAATTTAAGATCTATTTACGTTATTTAGTGTCCATTTAATATTTAGGTCATGAAATAGTTGATACGGAGCACGGAAAAGTTAGGTAAAAAACAAGTATAACAAAAATTTAAAATTTTCCTTGAAAAATTTATTTGAAAGAATTATATATAAATAGATCTTGAAAATTTTCCGTGTTGAAAACCCAACAATGCCTAAAAACAAAATTTCTACTTATAACAATTTTATGACAATGTTTTATATTATAATTTAAATTACCAAACGCCATTTTTTTCCACCATATTTCTATAACTGCTTGGCTTGTTTTTCCCGAAAACTAATTAAAAATTCATATAATCAAAACGTCTTAAAACAAAAAGGCACAGAAATAAACTATTTTTTTTACAAAATCTTACCCCGCAGAACGGTAAAAAATAAATGCCTTGGTTTTTTAATTAAAAAACAAACAAGCTACAAATATTACAAATTAACTGAAGATACAATCACATTTTATCTATGATAGTAGGACTACCCTCCGAGAAAGCACGATCACGATGCACTTGCTACTTCATGCTTGGATACGCATCGGTAATGTACAGAAGCTTTACTATATTTGTAGTTCAATTTAATTAATCAAACAATTTGCACTAAGCAAATACTATAACGAAATTATTACAATAGACGGACTTTAGCATGAATGTCGAGACATTCATTGGATAGTTGTTAAACCGTGAGAAATCCATATATTAATCAAACATGCATCTACTAATTTCATTACATAGAATGACCCTTATAACCGTACCTAAAAGTACGAACAATATGGAAACATTACGTCTTATTGTAATAGAGAAGAGCTTCTGCTTACTAAACAGTGCTTTAAAACACATTGCAGAACTTGCAATTTAATAAAAAAAATATTAAGATAAAATTTATTAAAATTTGTACTGTTCAAATATGCTATAAATCTAGCTATGACTACAGATATTCAGCTAAAATCGCACAGATTAATTTTTCTTCATGCAATTCACAAACAAAGTAAGTACTAATAAACAAATATATCTGACCTGAAATCGAACAGAAAATAACGGAAAACACAAATTCTTCTACGATGACAGACATGAGTGTGTGTTTGCTTACGATGAATCAGTAAAAATAAGGCCGATTTAATATCGCGAACTTTATCTAAAATCTGTTTGCTTAACGGGCCCCCGCAAAATAAACGTATTTGTGGCCCCGCGCTTTGTACTGTGCCTTGCTTAAATATTTGACTTTGCGCCCATGTATTGACGTAATTATCGCCAGAACAAAAGAAGATGGCCAATTATCGAATTGACGAAAAGTCAATATTTGCACAAGAATATTTGAGAAAAACATGTTTCATTTTGGACTTAGCACCTTCAGCCGTAATGTTATAATCTATCAATCGCAATAAAACGTACCAAGTCCCAAAAAGTTGCTAGCAATAGATTAAAAGACATATTATATTATATTATATTATAATATATATATATATATATATATATATAAATATATATATATATATATATATATATATATATATATTAGGGTGGTCCTTAAAATGGACATTTTCGAATTTTCTTGCTCCCAGGGGCTCAAATGGTTCCAAATTGATAAAAAATAATTCTCTGGAAGTTTTAGCTCTTAATATTAACGTTTAGATAGTGCGCAATTCAATCAAACTTCGTATGGAAAGAGCATGTAAAAAAGTTTGAAAAGTAAAAAAAATGTTTTAGGTATAACTTAGCAACAAATGAATGAGTTTTATTCATTCATTTGTTCGCTAAATTACATCTAAAAAACATTTTTAATATTTTTGAAAATTTTTCCATGCTATTTCCATACAAAACTTTGATTGAATTGCGCTCTACTAAACGTTAATATTAAGAACTAAAACCTTTAGAGAATTGTTTTTTATCTATTTGGAACCATTTGAGCCCCCTGGGAGCAAGAAAATTCGAAAATGACCATTTTAAGGACCACCCTAATATATATACCAAGCAAGAATGAAGAAAAAAATCCTGGTTTTAGCATAGTATGCCTACTATTCATCATAAATTTTGTTAATTTACTTCTGTACGTTAATATTATATAGAAGCCGAGGTGTTATAAATGATATTCAATTTAGTAAATAGAATATAAAAATTCACGGATTTATTTTAATAACTAAATATCAAATCGCCTTGCAATATAGTACCGCTTATCACAACTGTGAATTACGGTATCATATATGTTACATACAGGAAAGTAGTTGTCTACACGTTTATAGGTAAAAACCATTTTTGAATCATTTCGAACTAAATTTGATAAAAGCGATAGCGAAACAACAATAATATCAATCGACGTTTGAAATTTTATCCAATTACTTTTGCGTTATTACGATTTTCGTGACTTACATAGCATACGAACGATGTCACTTGAACACACTGCATTTAACCTACCAAAAATTTTCAAAATAATAGCAGAAGTTGAAACGCGAGTTTTCAGAATAGATTCTGAAGATGATTCAGTTAGGGCAATTA